TATTTCCTGAATTGCACGATGATTCTGTTGACTGTCGAAAGCGGTGTTACGACAGCGGAGGTCACGTGAGACTTGTAACACGTCATGCGCTTCTAGAACGTTCATGAAACCTCGAGAGGTTACTAGATATGCGTTATTCGTATATATAAGCCGCCAAGAACTGACGGCAACATTGTGTAATTGACAGTTGAGTCGAACACGTGAGACGTAAGTTGTAAATTATAGCGTTTGTTATAGCGCGACTGTAGAAATTAAGTGTATTGCAAAGTTGTATTTAGAAAGAATAAACCAGTTTTATTTAAGAAAGGACTTGTATCGCTAAAGTTTCTTTGGAAAGAATGTTTACGAAAAATTAACTAATGACCAGAGACATAACAGCGGGATTCTCAAATTCTGCGAAATATGCCGCTGACTTATTTCACTATCTGCTTGACCAACTATCCTTCCTTTAACAAAATCTGACATTTCGAGAGAACCTTGAGCTCTAGGCATGTTGTGGCACAAGATAATTAGTGTGCGGACCATTTTCATTTATATAGTGCTCTGTGAACTCAAATTAGTTAGCATAAATCAGTTAAATGACGAAAAATTAGGTGTCTATTTATTTGTGACCACTCAGTGTATATTTATGTATGTATTACATATATATATAATTGACGCATTTTCCCGTTAGACAGCGCTTTGAAAAACACGTTTTGTGGAAAGATGGATGAGGATTGTCAGGCTTTACGTACTTTTAAAGATTTAAAGTTAAACACGTGGCTTACAGATCAATGTAAAACTATGGGTTAGTAATAAACCCTTGTTAAAACTGTTTTGTTTTTATTTCGATATTATTACTATGGAATATTTTTTGTGTTCTTTATGTCTGATACAATGACATTGACAGTCAGGTTTAGCTCAAATTCAAAAAATTCGTAATTTGTATACTGTTTCAAATTAATTGAAAATTCAATGTTTATTTTTAATTTGTTTAGCCTTATCTTGTTGCTTATCAATATCATCAACTTCTCAGAGTAATACTATTAAATTAGTTTTACTATGTTTACGAATAATATTAATGTTTTGTGGATGGGACAGCTTCGATGGAGTAACACTAAGTGACTAACACTCTCAGACCCTTGTCCCTAATTTCTTGATTTTAGTATCATTACATTACAATTGGCTGAAACAGTGATATCAAACCTTGATGCCAGAGTTACTTTTCAGTTCTTATGATCGATAACTACGATTATATTTTAATTTCTATAAGTTCAATACTTAGGTGTTGGCCTGTTTTATTTTATTTTTACAATAGTGCTAAATGTGCAGATATTAAAACAGACCTTGACTAAGCCAAATGTTTTTGTGTTAGTAAATATCTCTGTGTGTATATGTAACACTTTGACTAAGTGTGTATTATTTCCCTCCTTTTTTTTCAAGGTTTAACTGCTCCAACCTTAGTACAGTTAAACTGTATACCTCCTATTTTAGAAGGGAAAGATTGCATTGGTTGTGCAAAAACTGGTAGTGGAAAGACCCTTGCATTTGCTCTACCAATTTTACAGAAACTTTCAGAAGACCCATATGGCATTTTTGCACTTGTTTTAACGCCAACCAGAGAGTTGGCATTCCAGATTGCCGATCAGTTTCGAGTATTTGGAAAACCAATTGGATTGAAAGTGAGAAATGTTTCCATAATGTTATTATTTTCTGTCGTAAGTTATTAAGGAAAATAGCTTTAGTTTGGAATGTGTTACAACTTTAGTCATGAAAAGTTGTTAATTGAAAAAATATTTTTGACATAAATCTAGATGTGTAACGTGCTTCTGAATATCACACTAATATATATATATATAAGATCCTGATATATAATTTTATATGTATGTATATAAGATCCTGACAACTTTATTGGAAAAAAGTGTAGTAAGCTTTAAAATTACTAGTAGGAGGTCATTATAGTTCGCTGTGCGAAAGAAATTAACTATTATTTGGTTTTATTAAATCTGTATTATTAAAAAATATATAATATAATTTTTTTATTTTTTTTCTTATTATACATCTAGCTTGGTGATTAAGGTGCTTAACTTGCAATCTCTGAGTTTTGGCATCATTGAACATGCTTACCCTTACAGCTGTGGGATATTATAATGTTAAGTTCAGTTCCACTGTTTGTTGATCTCTTGGTACTGCTGGCTTGTTGCTTTCACTATACTTAGCAGTTTAAAATTAGGGATAGTGGTAGATAGCTTTTGTAGCTTTACTATAAGTAAACAAATATTTTATGTCTTTAGGACTGTGTTATTGTTGGAGGAATGGACATGATGATACAAGGAAAAGAACTAGCACAGAGTCCTCATATTATCATATCCACACCTGGTCGTTTAGCTGATCATTTGGAAAGTTGCAATACCTTCAGCTTAAAACGAATCAAATTTTTAGTTCTTGATGAAGCTGACAGGCTACTTGAAGGGCATTTCAATGAACAGGTTAGTACTTCCTATATTAAGTTAGATTATATACATTTTTTGAGAAATTGGCTTGGTAAATATCTTTTTTCATGTGAAAATGAAGAATTTCTTGAGAATGTAGAAAAATGTTTTCTGTTTAGCACATAATAGAATCTACAGAGGAGATGTTATTTTAAACCTTGTTTGTAGCACTGAAGAGGATATGACTAGAAAAATATTGCAAGTGTTTTAGTGCTGGAGATCATAATTTCATTATCTTAGATAATTGCCAAGAGACTGGTTGAAGAGCTAAAGTAAATCATATTGTTGATTTTAGGCAAAACCAACTCTTAGAAATTACTGGTCATAATGAGAGCTGATTATTGTTTCCAATTTAAATGTATATAAATAAGAGAACTTAAGAGGATTAACAAAAATGACTGTAATTGTTGGCCTTACAGGAGAAAGAGCTAAGCTTTTGAAATTTTAGAATATCTCATTTAAACCTCTTTTATATGAATAATATTCTTATTTGTAGTAGTTTTGTGTTAATAATGAATAGCTTCATAAATATTTTTAGTAGGAGAAACTTAAATTATGGCTTGTTAGTGTAAGCATTACTAATAATTGATTAGGGGTTTAGCTACAGTTTAGCTTTTCATTAGGTTATAAAATAAGCTAAATACATAGTTTTATTACATAAATATCATCTAAAAATTGGTTATTTGTCACTTCTATATTTTAAAGATAAACTTAATTACTTTAGTGTTAAGATAAAGTAGTAATAAAATACTGTAATATATTTCTCAGTGTTTTGTTATTTATTCCCAGAATACAATAAATAAGAGTACTGTAGGTGTTAAGTGCTCACAGTTTGTAGAGTGATGGTCACAAGGGGTGGATTTTACTTGGAACTCGGAACTGGCATGCACTTTTAAGGAAACTAGTAGTGAAGATGTGCAATTTGTTTGTAGAGTTGGAGGAGAAGTTGGAAGCTATCCTGAATAGAAGAACTTAAAATTTTTCAAATAAGGGGTAACTAATAATGACTTTCAGGAAGTTAGAAAAAGTACGAGTAGGGCTAGATGCTGTGTATTTAATTGTAATCAGCTGGTTTTATTACATAAATAATATATTTCAACCTTTAGATTGTGCAGATGAGGAACTAAGGGAGGGAAAGAAAACAAAAATAGATGGGAAGGAAACCTAAGGAGGATATAGTTAAGGGTGATTCTTTAGTAAAGCATGTGGATGGGATAGCCTATGTGGTAAATAGGAAGAGAAAAATCTGATTATGCTATTCAGGGACATAACTGACAGCTAACTGATAAATGTAGAAGGTTGATAAAGGCATTTATAGAAAAGGGCCACAACTAATTGTGTCAGGGATATTGCTGATACTTAATTGTGGGGATGAAATTATAATTTGGTCACTGGGGCTGAATGCTAGGCTTAGGATATAAGGATGAGCAGATTGGCTAGCTGGATGCGTGGAATCAGTTAATGGATGGTTTATATTTAAATAGGATAGGGGCTGACATGTTTGCACGTCATATTAACTCAGCTGTAAGGGTAGCTTTAAACTAGGACTAGACAGTAATGAAGGCCAGGATAAACTAAATGCAGAAAAATAAGATGTTGAGAAAAATGTAGTGTATGAACAATGTACAGAAGTAGTTGTAAGAGTAAGCTAACTCGTTACCACTGTAATGTCAGAAGTATAATAAAATAGATGACTTTAGAACACTGGCTATAATGAAGGATTTTAATAAGGGCAATGGCCAAAACTTGGGTAAATGTAAACATATTTGATAACAGAAATTTCTTTGAAATGTGAGTTACATCCTGTTGAAGTTGAGGATGTCAGGTAATAGCAAGGAGATTGAATCCATTTGGGTTTCTGTTAGTGGGGAGAGCTTTTAGGTGGAATTTCTTACAGATCACCATATGAAATTGAGAAACTCTATAGTGAGATTAAGATTTTAACTGTAAATAAGGTCATAATTATAGGTGATTTTAATTTCAGGAAAGGAAGCTACTAAGAACAATGCTATTTTAGTTTTATTGTTCACTTCTAATATAGATATGGTTAAGTAATGGAAATGGGTGAATATTTGGGTGCAAGTGATCATTTTGAGGTTTGATGTTTTACTACATATGGAGAACAAGTATAATGATATTTTGATTACAAATTTTAAAAGGGAAATTTTGCAAGGATTTGGCAAGAATTATCTGTTCTGAATTGAGCAACTTAATTAATTGGAGATACTGGACAAATGTGGAATTTTTTTAAATATACAAGATAGATATATTCCATATAGAAGAAAAAGGGTGGCTGCAATTAAAAAACCAGATTGACTGACAGGGTATGAAGAATAAAATTAAAGAAAAGCATCACAGTTCAAGACATTTAAGTTGACTGCTTGGCAGGAGACTTAGAGGATTATAGAAGATCAAGTGAGTTGGTAAAATGGGAAATTAATAAATCAAAAAGGGTTGGCAGAAAATGTTTAAATAAACAGTAAGGATTTCTTTAAATAAATTAAGGGGAAGCAAAGTGTTTGGATGGAAGTAGGGTCTTTGAGGAATGATAAGGAAAGGTTCATATCTGAAGATCAAGAGATGTCTAGACTACTAAATTCTACTCACTCTTCAAGTTTTACTAATAAAAATTTAAGCAATATTCTCCGTCCTCAACAACAGTTAGATGGAAATGAGACTGAACAAGATCATATTAATTCTGAACTTTTAAAGAAGAAATTAATAAGTTTAAAGAAGAATAAGGCTCCAGGGCCAGATAATATTTCCCCAAGAGTTTTATGGGAGGTTAAGGATTGGATATGTGACCCACTTGCTAGTAACTTTTGTGAATCCTTGAATAGTGGGCAAGTGCGTGAGGATGGGAAGTTCACAACTGTTATTCTTCTTTTCAAGGAAGGTGATAAAAATTGTCTTAATAATTATAGATCTGTTAGTCTTACAATTTTAGTAGGAAGCAATTTTTTAAAGTCTTACAAAAGATAATCTGCAATGAATTAATTAAATTTGTTGGTATTAAGTTCTTATGTGTTTCTGGCTGTGAGGTAGATGCTGCTGACTTATAAAAGAACTCAGATCATGTGGTAGTTGGACAAATAAATGGCAGATGATTTTAGATTATAATAAATGTAAGGTAATGCATGTGCATTATCATAATTTAAATTATAAGTGTAATTTGCCTGGAATAATCTTAAGAGTTCTATGGAGGAAAAACATTTTGGTCTTCTGTTTGATCAGTCTCTTAAACTATCAAAGTATTGTGCTGTTGCTAATGTTAGGGCAAATAGATTTTAGGTTGTATCTACAGAAATATTGCAAAGTGTAAAGAAGTTATAATTTCATAGTATGTGTCACTAGTTAGGCCACATTTTGATTATTGTATTCAGTCTTTGGCTTCTTACTATAAGAAGGATATTGAATTATTGGAAAGGATTTAGAAAATGCTACTAGGAAGATACCTGGAATGAAATGATTGTCATATGATGACAGGTTAATTTCTCTGAAAATGTTTTCTCTAGGGAAAAAAAAAGTTAGAGGGGATGTGATTCAGATGTTTAAGATCGTTAAAGAAATTGGTGGGAATGGCTGGACCAGGGGACACAAATAAAACTTTTGGCAGAGTAGGGGTCATCATCAGCAAAGACAGTTTTATTTTTTCAACAGCAGGGAATGAGTTATCTTCAGATGTGGTGAAAACAGTAAACTTAAAGAAAGACTTGATAAATAGTTGAGTGACAAGGGCTGGCTTTCAGCTTTTTAAATTTAGAGATGGAACAACTTAGATTGACCACTAGGTCCTTTATGCTCCTTATGACAAGAAATATATGAGAGAGTTCAGAATAATTCTAATGTTATACCTAGTTGAAAGAATTTGAACTATGAAAAGAAACATAAAGGCTCTGACTTGTTTTCTCCCAAAAGTGTAAGCTCTAGAGATGAATTGATTTAGATTTCTTATGGATATGATTTGAAAAACTTTAGATGATCTGTTTGAGTGATGTAATCAAGAGAGTAGAAATGCAGACTTGAATATTACAAGTAATCACTACAAGCTTTGAAAGCATAGTTCAGACTTCTTGTTTGTCACATTTTCTTCTAAGCATTTTGAATGATTTGTGTACTTTTTAATTTTGATAGATTCATAGATGTGAAGGATTGCTTTTAATTGGATGTGATATTTGGGTTTATTTCAAGTGGAGGACTCCTTATGACCTTGCTAATTTTTAGGTGTCTCAAAGTATTACAGAAAATTAGGAAATTAATTTTCAAATATACAAATATAGCCTGTATTATTTACTTAGCAAGTGTATAGTGGTGTGAATAGCAATCATTTAAGTGGTTCAGTAGTTTCAGAAATTTTTGTTGAAGCTGGTATTTCTGAAGTGTGGTTGTAAATTATGAGTGAAACACAAGTTTTAGACATGAGGTTTAAAATAATATCTTCTTTGTAGTTTATCAACATTTTGAACTAGAAAATAATCTCTCACAATCTCAAGAAGTTTTTCAGTTTCATTCAAAGAGACATTTGTACCCAGGTTATTAAGTTTCATATCACAAACAATCCTAATATTACTGTAACTAATCTTCACATAAATATTAAACATCTATCAAGATGTCTTCAGAAAATTGCATTAAGCATTTTTTCTTTTCTGTCAGATTATATTTTTACAATCCTCAGTGATATTCATATCTCATAAGCATTGAGGTCATATCTTTCAAACAAAATAACCTCTGTCTTACTCTCATGATCTTAAGTTACCTTAATCATGAGTGAAGAAGAAAAATGCTGACAACAATAAAATTTCATTATATTAGTGTGTTGCCTAATAAACTTTTTAATTTACAAAAGTTAGTGTACCAAAGTGCATTTTATATTTTCGAAGTATTTATTAGTCTTGAGTAAGAATCTTTAGAATGTTGAGAGTATTAGGAAAACATTCAAATGCTGTATCATGTCTTTTATCATCACTTCAACTAATTTCAGCTTAAGACAATATTTGAAGCTCTGCCTAAAAAACGCCAGACTCTTCTGTTTAGTGCAACAATGACACAAACTCTTGAAGAACTAAGAAATATTGCCATGACTAACCCTTACTTCTGGTCAGCGCCAGCAGCAGTTGCTACAGTAGAAGAGCTTGATCAGCGATATGTTCTCGTGCCTAGTCATGTTCGTGATGCCTACTTAGTGCATGTGGTTAAAAACTTTGTTGAAAGGAACCCGAAAGGTTCTGTAATTATATTCACCAGTACATGCAAGTGAGTATGATTCATATGACTTTAATGTGTGTTTTGGTTTTATAAATGAGACAGAAGCTGAAATCATTTGTACGTGTATGGTCATCTCTTTAATTTAGTTCTTGATTATGAGGGAGGGGATTTTAAAAACTTTTAAAGATCTATAATTGCTTCTAATTTGAATGAAAAAAGTAAAGTACTTAAATATTTTACTTATATAGATTTTTGTTTTTACTATAGATCAATTTAAGTTTGTGAAGTATGATATGTCATTAAGAAAAAAGATTTAAAACAACTTTATATTTTGAATTTGTTTTAAAGCACAAAAATGAGCAATGTGGTGAAACCATTTTATTCAGCAAGGTCACACTTCTAAATATTGAAATAACATAAATAAACTGTATGTAGAATGTTGCATTAAATACATCAAATATTTATATTAACAGCACATTTCATTTAATCTGGTAAATAAAACCTTGAATTTGTATATAACTTAACCTATAGGTAGTTTTCTTGAATAACAAGTTTTGATCAGGACTTTTAAAACTGATAGGTACCTGTTACACCTAATATTTAAATACTCCTTTCCAGTATTTTTCATTCTATCACTAAAACACAACTTATCTGAGCTCCTGACTGTCACAAATACCCAGATCAAGTCCAAGTCTTTAAGCATCTCATCAAATTCTAATTCATTCTAATTGCTCATCTCTTCACATTTTCCATAATGTTAATATAACTGCAGTTTTACCAGATTGTTATTAAAGGTAACTACGGACAGCTGTTAGTGCTAATAATTACTACTCATAGTATTCATACGTCATTGAAAAAAATTTAGAAAAGTGAACATTTTCTAAAAAAGGATTTCTCTGGGAAGTGCTGCACGGGAAGTTCAGGTTGTGCTGATATAAACTGTAATGTTTTTATATATTAAAAGTGGTACCTTTTATTGAAAAAAAAAGTTTTTTTAATAACTCCATTTTTTACTACTATATTATTTACAAATGACATCAATAAAGATGTATAATCAAACCCTCACCTATAATCCTAGTGAAGGTTGTTTTCTTGTTGTGAAGAGAGTACTTTTATTTAAAATTATGTTCTGTGATAAATAAATGGTTTTTGCACATACCACAGTTATTTTTCTAATTGTCTGAATCTTGAATACCCAAAGTGTGAAATGTTTTTAAGGATTTTTGTTTGTGAAACCATTCAATAGATGGCACCACATTATATTTATTATTTTGGTCACATACATACATAGATAGATACATGTATACATGCTATGTCCATTATACTAAGATTATTCTTAAACTTGAAATTTCTGAAAATAGATATTAAAATTCTATTAGCCAATAATTTGGTCAGCCGATTAGTTGTATCTGGTATAGGCAAGTAACTGATAATTATCTTCTTTTTTTTACCACATGGCCAGCACTTTTGGAAATAGTTTTTGAAGTAACTGACTAAAATTTATTAGTGGTCAAAAAGAAACTTCTTTCAAACCCTGGGTTTACACTTGCAAAGTTTCCAAAACTTTTGGACACTGTTCTCTGTTCAGTAACTATAAAGTTTAAAAACAAAAAAGTATTTTTATACATGAGTTATATTTCTTTCCTTCTACATTCTATTCCTGTTATAATTTTTTTTAAAGACCCACATTGTTCTAACATTTTTTCTTTTACAGTTCAAGTAAATGTAAAGAAGCTTTTCAAATAAAATTTTTGTCTTTATTTATTTTATACAACAATCTGTTTTACCAGGAAGTTTCATATTCTTAAAAGTTGATCACTTAAATTTACTAACAATTTAATTTGTGTATTAATACAGCTAGAAATAGGCTTTTAGCTTGAATAAAAGGCTAGGCATTGATTTTTGTTCTTGGTAGTTTTCTGAAACTTAAAACATTCCCAATCTTTATTTTTACCAAGTAGATGAATCATCTGATCATACTGGTTTTAGTGTGTTGAGTAAATTATCAATGACAAAATATGTCTTGCTGAACAAATGAATGTTTTACAAGAGTTAAAAACCTTGAATGGTTTGTTACACATGCACACAAATTTATGTATTCACACAGTGTGCATCAAAATAAAATACATGGCACTTTGGATAAGTGCTTTTGATTAATAATTTAAATAAAAATGTTACATTATTATTTATGATATATATGACAGAAAAATTAATCTTTGTTACCTTACCAATTATTAACTCTATCTTGGGGCCAAAACATTTCCAAGACGTATGCAGATAATATTTTTCAAGTAATGTGTAACTTTTTTTTATGTTTTTAGAGAAGATATGTCTTGGTAATTCTATACTGCCAAACACAACTAATGTTTTTTTCTGTCTATGTGTAGGAGCTGTCATATTTTGTCCATGGCTTTCAAATCTCTGGGGTTTGAAACAACTGCTCTTCATTCTATGATCAGTCAGCGACTACGTTTGGCAGCTTTGGCAAGTTTCAAGTCCAATAATGTGAAGATTATGATAGCGACAGATGTTGCCAGTAGAGGTGAGCTTGCTTGTGAAATTTTAAATTTAAAAACAAATCTGTAGTCCATATAAACAGATTTACTAAGAAAGATTACAATGAAGTTATTGAAAGGATATATAGACATATATCTATATATATAAAAGAGGAAGTTTGTTTATTTTGTTCGCTATAGGAAACCAAACGGTTGAATTTACA